AACCCGTCAACATCAGTTCGGGTTCAGACGAGCCCAGAGCGACACCGAGGGTTCTGGAAATTAATGTTGGCATAAAGTTAGAGAGATGATGAAAAACACCTGACTGAGCTGAGATCAGCACAAAGAGGAGAGGAATCTCACATTGGTGAGTAAGAAAACAAGGACAATGGAGCTTTTGAATGAACTTTTATGAGTTTACAAAGTTTCTGTGACGAAGACTTGAGGATCTGCAGAGGTCGGTGAAGACGTGTGGTGCTGTGGGCTCTGAACAGATGAGCCTCTGGTTCTGGATCAGCTCTGTTCAATCTGCTCTAATCCAACTCCAGGCCGTTTCTCTGGAAGGTCCGGTTCGGTTGCCGAGGTGTGAATGCTAAGCTAACTCTAGTTCATCGACAAACCTGCTGCTTTATAGATCCAGCTGGTTGATCACAGCTAACTGTCTGGTTAGCTGCTAAATCACAGCTAACTGTCTGGTTAGCTGCTAAATCACAGCTAACTGTCTGGTTAGCTGCTAAATCACAGCTAACTGTCTGGTTAGCTGCTAAATCACAGCTAACTGTCTGGTTAGCTGTGTTCAGCGGAAACCAGCTAACTGTCTGGGTTTGGTTGAATGTATATGTGAAAGCGAACCGGACACCACTCCAAAAGCAGGAAGTTACTACAATGCAGGGCATTCTGGGTGAATACCACCAAAACAGACATGTTAGCTTAGCGCTAGCAGCAGAAATGGCTTCTGGTCTTCAGCCAATAACTAAAGAGAAATCCTCCAACACTAAATTCTGATGCCTCCATCTTGTTTCCATCTGGTGAAGAAGGAAGTTGCTCTCAGCATCTGTAGAGGTTTTAGTGTCGTTTCCTGCAGTGGTTCTTGGTGCAGCGCCCCCACAGGCCAGGAGGGGAACAGGCTGGTTGACTCAGAACCACAGCAGCTGGAGATGGAGCAGATGATCGGATTGTTACTCTCCTGATGTCCCACATGATTCTTCTTCTCTTTAGTCCATTGTTGGTTTTCTTCTCAGCCTCCTGCTAAATCACATCTTCTATTCCCACCATCATGATTCTTGTTAACTTCTTTATTGACCTTTTTTTTACTCAACAACTTCATCATCACTTTTATAAAATATTTATGACTGCATCTTCACTGTGAAAATGAATATTCATCCCACTCCTTATCCCCAAAGTTTTAAGCGAAGCTGTGAGTCTGCGTGTTCTTCCTCTGCTGAATGTGTTTTTGTCTCGGCTCTGTTTCTGTCTTTGTCTCGCTGCTTTCCGTTTTCATCCTGCTGTCTGCAGCAGTCAGGCTTTCGGAGCTGAAGTGACGGTTCGTATTCACCTCCTGCTTCCTGCTCTTGCTGTGGTCTGTTGTTCTCGCCGTGTTTCTGTCTCAGCTCTCCGTGTTTCTTCGTTCTAATGCTGAGGTGCCAAGCATTGATTGATGATCCCATTGTCACTCATTGTGTTCTTGCCAGAGCCGCATCACTTCCTCCTCCACAGCTTTGCATTTACTTGACATTTCTATTTATATTTTTATTCCTCCAATCTTCAACTTACACTCTGCAGATCATTTGTTTCCTTTTCCAAACTGTCTTCTCTTTCAATTTAATCACCGTCTTGTTTCAGTTTCCAGCTGTAAATCTCCAAATGAACCAGAATCATTTCTGTTTTCTACCTGAACTGGGTTAAATCTGAGTCACCCTGAAATCAATAAGCCATCTTCCTGCGGTAAATTAGAAATGCCAACATCTTCACACCTTATTTTTTTACGTGTGAACTGAAGTGGAACAGTCTGAAGAGAAAGCTTCCCTCTGCGTTTAAAAAAATCCCTACGCATGAATTCGAGCCGTTTCTGTTTCAGGAAACCTTTGTCAGGCTTCAAAAGAAATTTATGCAACTTATATCAGCAAACTGGTGACATCATGTGAGAGTTTGGGGGTCAGAAGCAACAATAAAAGGCTTTTATTTACATCAGACTACAGTTACCTTTATCTTGACTTCATCTTTAGCAAACCGTCAGATGTGTGCAGCGGTTCAACCTTGTGAGGATCCACTGGATTATTTATTGAATCTACTTTATCAGGCTCTTTGTTCGTGTCCAGTTGAAGTCGTGTATTTCAGTGGATCCTTCACCAAATGATCAGTCTGACTGTAAACGACCCTCCGCTGTTATTGTTTATATCCAGAAATTTTGTGCTGCAGGGAAAAAACACGATGAACCCTGGAGATGAAGGAATGATTCATTTAAAACACGCAGAAAAACCATTAAAAACACTCAAAACCTCTTTTGGTTTCAGCTGATTTCAGAGATTTTCTATTTGTAGTGTTGACAGTAGCAAAGCACCGCGTCCCTTTTTCTTTTGTCTATCAGGCGTTCATTTAAGATTTAGCGCTATATTGCTAACATAACAGCTAAATCTCCAGTTTGAGCTCCTGGAAAGTGTTGATTTCTGAAGCTTATTTTTGTGGAAAATAAACTTCATTAGACAAAAGATGAACGTTTGCATTGTCTGTTATCTTCTGTTTTGTTTGTGTTCTCACTGTTTTACATTGAACTCGTCTTTGTCTTATCGCTTATTCCTTTGAATTTTGTCTTTTATTTCTTGCCTTTCACCTTTTTCTCTCCAGACTCACAGCTTCCTGCTTTCAAGGCAGATCTCCAGTTGTCCCTCTTCCACCTCCTCTCTGCTTATTCAAGCTGGCAAGGCCACTTATCACAATTTAATTTACTTTCCCAGCATGGCGGTGGCTGTGTGTGTGTGTGTGTGTGTGTGTGTGTGTGTGTGTGTGTGTGTGTGTGTGTGTGTGTTAAAGAGAGAGAGAGAAAGAAAAAAAAAGAAGAGCCACACATTTGGACGAAAAAGGGAAAGTGGCCTGAAATCATCTTGTGTCTGATTTAATTTAGATGTGATGCATCATGTGGAGCTTGTGGTGGATTGAGAGGATGAGGATGTTTGCTTTCCTGTTACAAAGATACATAGAAGAAGAAATGATTCAAAATGTAGAAACATGTTGTTGGTGAGAAGTCTCTTGTGTACGTTACTGGAGAAAAACATTATCTGTAAAGCAACGGATGTATATGAATCAACATGAAAACACAAAGTAAATGCTCCAGATTGAGCTCATTTTCATGCTATCATGTTGATGGAGGAGATTAAAAAACATTTATAACTGCATACATGACAATTTGTTAAAACTGTCGCTAAGCAACAGTTTGGTATGAGATAGATAATCTGTGAAAGTTAGCAAATGTTAACTAGCGATCATGCTAGCTTTTTCTGTAGCTGTAAGTTGTTTCTCCACCATCAGCAGAGTTAGCAGCATGTGTGTGAGCTTGATTGACAGCACTGAGACCCGCCTCCTGGCTCTGATTGGCTGGTTTTCATTGGGAACGTTGCTTTGATCAGACAGTAGCTCAAAGACCAGGTGGTTCAGATCGATCTTTCAGCAGACTGAAACAACAAACTGTTGCAACATGGCGACGGTTTCAACAAATATGTAAAAACATATTTTTTATAAAAGTTACAAACTGCAGCTTTAATGTTTCTGGTGTCTGGAAATGTTCTGGATTTTCCAGAATGTAGCGTCACAAGTCAGCAAGCACTGGCCATCACCTAGCAACCCGGTGTGAATTCCAACATGTTTGGTCAGCTGGTTTTACCGATGTATGCGCTGCTGGAAAATATCAATTTACGTCATTTCTTGATCCTTTTCTGCAATGTTATATTTTTATGTCTTGTTTTATTTCCATTTTATTTTATTTTTTTTGTTTTTCTGAGGATGTCATAAAATACGTCAAACTAAACATAAATTCCAAAACAAACCTGTAGAGGAAACCTTTGTCAAGACACACAGAAGCAGCTGAAGAATTAAAATGCATTCTGTGTCACAGCCTTGTGAAAATAAAAAACATTTTGAGGTGGAATCATTCATAATGTCAGCAGTTTCATGAAAAAGGCTTGAAATAAACCCAGGGAACTGTGCACCAGTGTAGAGGCGTGTCATCCTAACCTCCCGGTGGAGCATCGTCACAGGAATAAGCAAAGGAAGGAGTGGATTTGTGGAGAGAGTAAACCCTGATGGGCTCTGGAGGATTTAGCGCTGCTGATCGACTGTTTGCAGGCTGCGCAGTCAGCAGCAGACTGAAACGTGGCGCAGGCCTTAAGTAATTGGTTCTGCTGGAAGCTCTGACTGATGGACCCTCTGCTCTGCTCTCCACTCAGCATTCAGTCATCGGGTTACCAGAATCGGTGCCAAACATGATGAAATCCATTTTTGGATATTAAAGGGAGCTTTTTTGCTATTTTACATCATGTCATAATGTTTTGATGAGGGCATCAAAAACACACCTGAAATGTTTCCTCACACAGCAGTCCTCCCCCACTCGGCTCCTTCAGACTAGCCAGCAGCAATTAGGAAACACCTGATGGAACTTAGCTCATCCTACAACTATATTTAGGCTCAAAGCTCCTAAGAACAAATGTAAGCAAATGGCATAATGAGGACCATTGATGTGATCGCTTCCTGAAATGAGAGGGTTGGAAAGAGCAGGAACTTCTTAAAGAGACAGAGACATGATGTCATACTCAGCTTGCTTACGAAATATGTAGAAACAGACAAAGGCTATCTAGATATTAAGTTTGAAATTAAATATTTATTTTCCAAACAAAACATTTAATATCTAAACTATAGACTTCATTTTAAGCTAAACATTTAGCATAAATATTTGAGTGCTACCTAAATATTTAGCTAACAGCTACATATTTAGACATGTATATATTTAAACATATAGCTAGTTGGAAATTAAACATTTAGCCTATTTTGGAACTCTGACATGTTTTCTAATTTTCTGTTAAAATAAAAAATGCCAACTATAAATATTCTGGCATTTTTCTTTTGGCGCCCCCACTCGCTGGCGCCCTTGTGCGATATGTATACCCAGATTGTGCAGCTGACCTCCCTCTCCTCTTGATCCTCCCTTCTCCTGACTCCTCATCCATCCGCGCCCCCGAGGTCCTCCGCGCTCCTCCTCACCCGCCCGCCTGCGCGCTCAGACGGTGTGTGTGTGTGTGTGTGTGTGTGTGTGTGTGTGTGTGTGTGTGTGTGTGTGTGTGTGTGTGTGTGTGTGTGTGTGTGTGTGTGTGTGTTTGCTGCTGGGAGCGAGTCGAGCAGCGGAGGACACTTTCCCCTCTTCACTCCAACATGCTCACTGCTTCGGCTGCGGACTGGCTCTAGATCACACGGTAAGAAGCTTCTCCTTTTTGCGCATTTTGCGGGGTTCGGTACAGGTGCGCCTTTCTGTTGTGCGCACTCCATGCGGGCATCCCTGGCTGCTGATTCTGGGCCATGTGGAGCAGCTCTGCTGCTGCTGCTGCGTTGATCTGGGATGGATCACAATGAAACATCAGCGGTTGTTTGTTGGGGGTTTTGCGCTCCGAGCGCAACCTCGTCCCGCCGTTTGCGAACTTTAAGGAGCGGGAGTGAAACCTTTAAGGGCGCTGTTGCGATTTTTGCGTGTGTTTTGCTCGCTTTATGGTGCTTATATCCGGTTTAATTTGCGCTCTGCTCCCGGAGGGGCTCGATCCTCGGTGTCCGAGGATCGGAACCAAACTCTGGGTTCTGCTCGGGAAGGAGAGAAACTCAGCCAGTCTGATATAAAAACAAAAATCACAGTAAGTTTGGTGAAAACACGCAGCATCCCGCACGGTTTTGGTGGAGCTGCTTTCTGACTGGAGTAAACCTCAGATTGTATTGATGCGCCTCTTGGAGGAGAGGCTGGCATAAAAAAGAAGGAATAATGAAGATGAATCATGAATCCTCCCTGTGCTTTCATGTATTTAGCATCTTTAGCACCAGAAACCTCCTTTGTGTGGAGCTGTTCGGACCTCCCATCCGAACAGCTCCATAAAACTGCCTTTTTTCCCATGTTATTTATATTTTCAGCCGGTTTTGCACAAAAGAATCCACTTTGACTCAGTGCTGCTCGCTGCATCTCATGTCACACTTTAAAAGCGACGCGTTTCGCTGAATCTGCAGCTCTGAGGTGTGTTTTGGTCCGTGGTGCAGGGCTGCAGGGAGGAACAAGAGGCATGAAGTGTGACTGTAGTTTCAATGAGGAGTCTGTGGGTGCAGCAGCATGCATTAGAGGGGATCCTCCTCCTGTTCGCAGAAGCTGCAGCGGGGCTTCCCTGGGCTGTTCCTGCTGTTGGGGGGCTTCCCCAGCAGCAGATGCAGCGTGTTTTGCTGCTGAAGTCCTGCTCGGGCTCGGTTCTTTCTGCTCTGCTGGGATGACTGATGTTTCCTTTTCTTTGTCCTTCAACAACACGATGCTCTGGATTCACTGCTTGCAGACTGATGCTTGCCTCCTCAACATATTTATTGTTTTATGAGCCATATCCAATTGCTGCTCTACTTTATACTGTATATCGCCTGTTGTATTATTCATTACACCTTCTCTTCTGTCTCTCCTCTGCTGGAAAAGAGAAAGTCTCCATGTTTTCTGCTTCCTTTAACCCGCGTTGATACCATCAGGCACCAGGAACCAAAACACACCGGAGAGCTGCAGATTCAGCGAAATGCGTCGCTTTTAAAGGGCGACCTGAGCTGCAGTGAACAGCAGCGAGTGAAAGTGGATTGTTTTCATCCTCACGCTCCCAGAATTAAACATGTCTCAGGGGAAAAGTCCAGACAAACCCACAGCGCCTTAAAGCGCCTGCCTGGTAGCAGGACAGAGCAGAGAGCGGTTATGTAACATTTATCAGCTCTAATTTACATCTTATCTCCTGCTTGACTCCTTTTAGCCCCCTTTAACTCCATTAACCTCCTTTAGCCTCTGCGCTAGCTCGGCTAATCTCCCTCTTTGCTAGCATATGTAGCTAACTTTAAAGACGTCTCGCGCCGTTAGCTTCCCCCGAGGTTTTTCACATAAATCACAAATCGCTAATTGACTGTCTGTTTTGTAAATTTTTTATCGTCATTTGTTTAGACATTTTCGGATTTTTACTATTAAGTTCAAGTTCAACATGTTTTTATTTTGAAGGGGCCGCAATTTCGTTTGCTTCTCCGTGACGTCATCACGTCGAGGCGCCATGATGGACGTCGGGAGAATTGACCTGCGATTATTTATCTCAGAATGTCTTCTATGATTTGACTGGATTAAAAAGTAGTCACAACTTAACTATGACGATTCAAAATTATGTTTTTAAATATCTGACCTGAGAATTAAGCCCAGCTTGTTAAGCCCCACTGAGCTGTCCAATCAGTTGCCTGAAGAATTTGGGGTTTTGCAAACAAAATGGTTAGAAAATGCCACAATGTAGAAAGAATTAGGATTTTAGGGGAATGCAAGATTTTGTGGACTTGAAGACTGCTTCAAAAATCTGCAAATAATTTCGTAATTAATTATTTTCTAAAAACCTAATGGTGAAAAGTTACAGTGTCAATCCATATTAAATGGAGCATTTCCCAAAATCTTTTTTATTGTTTAAAATGTCAAAATGCTACGTAAATCTTGCATGTTTCATTAGAATGTTAATTAAGTAAATTTGAAACAGAAAAGCAGCCTAATTAAATACATCTCTAATTTGTTTGGATATGTATTAAGATGAATTTTGACAGGTCAAAATTACAGTTCCAGATTTGCTCTCAAAATATCTGTTATTTAATTTACATTTGTTGAATCTATAAATTTTCTATCTAACTTTACATTTAAGATATGTTAATTGAATTAGGACAAGTCATAACAAAAGCTGAAATATCTCCAACACTGCAAAACACAAAGTCTTACCAAGCATTTTTGTTTTAAGTGCAAATATTTTAGTACACCTGAAATGAGACAAAACTAACTCACAGATTCTCAGTTTTAAGTCAATTATTGCATAATATTAAGGAAAAGTTCAGGCTAAACTGGCAGATTATTTAATTTATAACAAGAAATTTTTACCATTTTACAAGTAAAATAATCTGCCAATCAACTTGTAATTTTTAAGGAATTATTGACTAAACAAAAGTTTCTGTTTCTTGCTGAAGTTACTGTCACGTGATTTTGTTTTATTTCAGGTTTACTAAGTGCTAGAAACCAGAACAAAGTTATTTGGTAAGATTTTTATTTTTTGCAGCAATTTCACTTTTTAACTAGTTATAATTTAAGTAATTAATTGTAGATATCTTGAATTGAAAACTTTATGCAAGTCAATAGTAAATTTGACGTTACTTATTCCAGTCAGAATGTAATTGGAGATATCTTAGTTAAGAAATATGACTAATTTTAAACCAATTTTCTATTAAAACGGCCTGCCATACAAAGTATGGGCGTCAAACTCCAGTTCTGTAAGTTTTAGATGTTTTTTCTGCTTTAATCCACACAAATCAAATCAACTGATCATCAATCGGAGTCTGCAGAGGATTCAGCCATTTGTGTTAGAAAACGCTGGTCCCAGTTTCTGTTTTTCTAAACACATTCATCCAACCTGAAAGGTTTATTTTCTCCACAGGGATTTTTTATGTTATGCCACATCAAACACATCAAACTAATAATAAAAAACCCCAACATATCAAAGTGACAGTGATTCTCTGTGGGTTTGTTCTGCTCACTGTTTTGTCCTCTTCCTCGTCTCTGGTCCTGATTGATCTCTGGGGACATTAGCACAGAGTTTCTTCCTCTGCGGCTCCTTAATTACAGAAATGATGTGGATGGCTGTCTTTCTGAGAGGAGGAGCGTCACAGTATCTTAACCTCACCGGGGGATTGGCTCTTTTCCTGCAGGACAGATAGTTGCCTTTTGCTAATGTGGGAGTCCTGCAGCGAAAACGCTTTCTCTGGCTTGGTGTAAAGAGCAACAGGAATCTGGAGGATGGTTTCCAGCGTGCGCCTCGCTGCGGTTTCGTTTTCAGGAAAGAAGTGATGAACAGATAAATAAAAGTCTCCGGGACGGAAATGAGGAAGTTTTACGGCATCTAAATTATCTTCTGGAGTTTGTGTTTACACAGAGATCATGACTTCCAGTCCTCAACATTCAGGATTCACTCCCATCAGCCCTGTTTGGTCCACCTTAATCCAGATCCAGACTGTTTTAATCCAGCTCCAGTCCGGCTGCCCAGGAAGTCCAGTTCGGTTGATGAGGTGTGGATGCTAATCGACCTCTGACCTCTGTCCTCCAAATCTCGGCCCGAGTTTGGTTGAAGTGAATTCTGGTTCGGTTTGAATGCATATGTGAACGCCAAGCTGACTGGAAACCGTTCCAAAAGCAGAAAGTGAACTACAGGGCAGGGCATTCTGGGTAAATACAACCAAAACAAAGCATTAGCCTCATGGTAGTGGCAGAAATGTCTCATGGTTTTTATCAAAAGACAAAAGAGAAATCCTCCACGCTGAAATCTGACGCCACTCCATTATTGTCTACGTTTCATGGAGAAAGTCGCTGTGGTCAGAGTCGTCTTTATTACTATGTAGAGAAACTCCCATTAGCTCTTCCAGGGAAACTCCTTCTAGCTTATAAACGATAAATTATGGAGTATCTATAATTATCTTGCAGCCCAGAAAAGGAACGAGAACAAACTTAGAATCCAGAGGAACTCGCCTCACTACCTTAGAGCCACATCATCATCAGAACAGGAATCCTGATAAAACCCCTAATAGTTTATAAATTACTTATTCTTAAACATGGGAACTTTTATATAGTTTTATATGTTTTCTTCTTTTGCTCTTTCCTTTGGTTTGTGTTTCCTTCTTATTCATGTAAAGCACTTTGAACTGTCTTGTTGCTGAAAATGTGCTATGCAAATAAAATAACCTCCAGAGGTTTTGGTGTCGTTTCCTTCAGTGGTTCTTGGTGCAGCGCCCCCACAGGCCAGGAGGGGAACAGGGTGCTCAAAGGGTTGTGTTTCTCCTTAATGTGTCGAGTCCTGATAATGTCCCCGATATTTGAGTCAAATGTGATTTCACATTGTGCGTTTTTACAAGCGGACTCTGTCAACAAAGCCACGTTGGTGGCGATCTTTGCTCCCATTGGACAGAAAGCAACAATCCACATCAGGCTGTGTGACCTTCCTCAGGCACCTGCTTGCTGGGTTTTTTGTTTCTATCTTTAAGAAATTTCTGTTTGTGTTTCCTGCCAGACTTGTTGAGTGGTTCGGTTGAAACGTTGTCTGTGAGGGTCAGCTGGTGAGATGCAGCTGCTGAAGTCATGTTTAAGTGAAGAAAGACATTTTTCTGGTTTCATTTCCCTCTCAGGATTTGCGCCGTT